ACCATGGTAATCTGGCTTCCTTAATGTCTTAATGTCAACTTATGGTCTCCTTCCCACGAGCGTGACGTAAGTGTAGAGCTTTTTATTAAAAAGAGAATTATTCAGAAATATGTTGTAATTGCTTACATCTTAGGCAACAAAGAAGTGTGTGTTTACGCTTTATTATAATAGTATATATTTATTAACAAGCTATGTTTTTCAATTGGTAAAAGCAAAAGATCACTTAACTGTTGTCCTTGACTTAAGTGAAATGTTCTTGAAGAGCGCTATGAAAAGTTTGAAGGAGCGGTTCACCATTTTCCAAGTTGGGTTCGTTTTAAAATTATTTTATACAAACAGTTGCGAATTGCGGTTAAATCGAATTGGGATTCGCAATTCAAATTAAATTTAAAAATTAAAAATCATTGTTTTTTCTCTAAATAGGCTAAGAATAGGCGGATATAGGATTTTATTGACTTTATGTTTACAAGGATCTATCAATTACGATTATGCTATTGGTTTTTTATTATTTCATGTTAGTGTAAGGGTTTTTATGACTTAATGGATTTAAGTTACGTGTCTTAACAACTGCAGATATATTAAATTTTCATTAAATTATGGTAACTTCAGTTATCATATTCCTACAGGAAAATCTACTAGCTATACCGGTATGAAGTGAGCGACAAGATAGAAATGTCTTGATAGGGACGTCAAAATGTGTAGAAAACAATAGCCAATATTTTAAATGAAATGTTTTTTACTTTCTTAATAAGTGTTTTATTTTCACAATAAACGCTCATTTTATACCGGTATTCCTGATAACTTAAACTCATGATGTTAAATTAGTATATAAAAGTTATTTGTTACTAGCTGTTGCTCGCGATTTCGTTCACGTGAAATAAAAATAGCAAAACCATATAGCCTATGTTCAGCGAAAACATAGCTTTTAAATGGTGAAAGATTTTTTGGGATCAGGTCCCGTATATTTGAGTTATTTCAATAGGGATAAAAATCAAAAAATCCAAAATCTTTCCTCTTTATAATATTAATATATGTATAGGTAGATACATTTTACAGTTACACGCGAACAATAATGTTTTAACCGAAATTTTTATACATTTTTCACTGGTTGAAGAAGAGGCACGTCGCCAATTTACAACAGCCATATGTTGTAACAATATTAGAAAAATGTAATACAAACTTGTTGAAGAAATAAGCACATTTAATAAGCTTTTTTACTGCCGCAGTCAGATTCAGTTAAATGGTTACTCTAAGAGGCTACCTTAGGACCTTCATAAAGGTTTAGTTCTAGTTTTCTTAAGTATAATTTAGTATGTCGGAGACCAAGATTCTAGTCATACGCTTCCTATCCTTACCAAATAGGAATAGTAACTCGGCATGTCTTGATTTGTAAGAAAGGGAAATACCCCTTTCGTATTATTTCTGTACGATCTTCCTGTTCCAACGATTGGTTTGTCTTTAATTATTATTGTAGAATATAGAGTTAGTATAGATATTGCTTTAGATATCTGTAAAAACATAAACAAAGAAAGTTACATGATACGTGGAATTTGAAATGAGATACAAAGTCTGTCTGATAAATGTTAAAGCAGACACGTGAATCATTTATCTAATACATAACAGCTACACGTGTTTGTCTTCGTTATTTATGCTATTAATTAAAGCAAAAGAATATATACTATTAATATTTATAACTAGCTGTTGTCCGCGACTTCGTCCACGCAATATTAAGATAAAAGTAGCCTATAATATGCCCGTCTATGTCAGCTACTCTTCGGATATTTCCAGGAATTGCGGACTGACAGATAGACAAAAATTTTTTAACTGCGTATTTCATTATCAGCAACACAAATATACATCATCCCGAAATCTGGAATTTTTCTTTTGATATTACAAATAGACATTCAAATGTTATATGTATAGAGGATATCATTTACTTTAGTCACTTAATATAGTTTTAAAAGTTCCGATAAAAAATTTAAATCAACAATTTAATATATCCCATCACTTTGTCAATTAAAAAAACATACAAAATGTCATTTATCAATACGATGAATTAAATCATTCCGATCGTCAATTATTTAAAGCGGTTATCATAAAGTACTCCAATCATTTCAATATCTGAAGTGACAACAAAAGGGATATCATTTATATTTGAATCTCGATGCGATGGATCTGCCGTCCGATACTTTTTAATTAAATTTTAAATTTTTATTTATAATATAAGGTGGCAAACGAGCAAGCGGCCACCTGAATCCACCGAAATGGAAAGCGACCGCTGCCCATAAACATCCGCAATTGCAGGTGCGTTGTCTTCCTTTAATTGACGGAGGAGATGCACATAAAGAGGACATTTCCTTCCTATGCGTCTTCTCCACCGTCAAATCCATTTTTCTTTCTCATCCTTCCTCTTAAGAGTGGGAAGGGAAAGGGACTAAAATTAGGCCTCCGGCACACACTCATCAGACGAAACGCGGAAATACTTCCACTTCACGCCTGGCTTCTGTGTGGTCGTGGTATTGCACCGGGTGAGCCGACCCATTCGTGCGAATATGTTAAAGCTGGCTCTACCACTGATATCTGTGAGACCTGGATGAAAGAACTTAAAACTTAAAAAAAAAATCTGGTCCTCTTTTCCTCTCCCTTGCATCATGGAAATGCTAATAAGTGTATTTGGGGGAGACAGTATGGGGAATCCCATTCATTAGTCAATGCAACGGGAACGCTTTAACTTTTTATAGATATCTGCGGGCAGAGGTCATTCATGCGTTAACAATAACTTTGAGTCTGTAACGTGTATTCTATTCAAAACTTTAATAATGGTATCAGTAACTATGAATCTATATTAGTAACTTTTTTATCGTCTCGTATGAAACTTCAAATTTGCAAAAGGGTTTTATTTTATGATCAATTTTTTTGCTCGGTGCAACGTTTGTGCTGATATGACCTTGGACATTGTTTGTACGAACAAGAAAAACTCACAGCCGTTAATTAGGTTTGGGTAGAATTTGGTAATGTAGAAATGATCATGGTAATATTTAAGTTTTAATCACGGTAATATTGAAAAATTTATTATTGTAATATTGGCATAAATTTAAATTTTTTTCTTCATTTAAATTCATATTCGTTTGCTCGTAACATTTTATATTAAGTTACAATTTTTATCATCAACTTTACACTAAATTTCTTTCAGGACGTTTCACCTCGGGGCGTTTTGTTGAAAATATGTCACATAGCCTGCATCCTTACAGCTTGCGGCTATTAAGGAATATTTGTATATGGAAATGTAAAATTAATATCTTGCAACATGATTGAGACGTTCGCTACTCTTACTTAATCTAAATAACCTTGTGATCCAAGTTAGAGCAGTCGGTAAATTATTATTTCAAAAACAAAACATTCTACGATCAAAAAAAATGCACATTTCAAACGCTTTTCCACAAAAATGTGTGTATTTTAAACGAGTTCTAAAGAAACCGAGATAAATAAATCATTAAAAAGCTTAGTCCTTTTGCTTGATGTCGGTTATGTTAAAAAATATCCCCTATTAATCGGTCTTTGACATTTATCTGTTTAATTAAATTGTTTTTGTCAGTTCTTTATATGTTAATAAAAAAATAATCTTTATAAACCTTTAAAATTTCAGAATTATTATAAAAACGCCTTATGACGTAAATTGATATCATCTCAAGGTTAAAATGTAACTGCATAAATAATAAAAGCATAAGCGCCAATAGCCTAATGGTTTGGGTTCGAATCCAGCCATGGACCAATGTGATTTTCGATTTTCCATCTGTACATAATTTACCCGGCGTTCTTACGATGAAGGAAAACATCGTGATGCAACCAGCACATATCGGCGAAGAAATTCAGAGATATGTGTGAAGTCAACCAACCCGCACTGGGTCAGCGTGGTTGACTATGGTCTAGTTGCCCCTTATTAAGGTAGGCTCCGAGCCCCTCGGTGGGGACGTATAGTGAGCTGGTGATGATATAATATTAAAAATATTCAAGTTATTTTTAAACAGAACTTTTGGTCATTATATGTAACAGGTTTATCGAAATGAAAATTACTATTTTTTTGAATAAATACGTGAAGATATTAAATCTCATTTATCTAGTAATAATACTTTTTACTAATACTATGAATATATAA